GGTAATGACTTCGAGCCATATTTTTCAAAAAGCAATTGCAGGAATCTTATTAGGAAAAATAAAAAATATGATAATATACCAGGACGATATAGGGGCAAGAACTAAAGAAGAATTAAAATATAAAACAGAAAATTTTAGTGAGATTAAAAAAGGCAAATGTAATTTTGATTGTAAGAAGATATCTTATTTAGGATATCAAATATCAAAAGAAGGCATATCACTCGACAATAGATTAACAAAGAAAATAACAGAAATAGCTCCTCCAACAAATAAAAAAGAATTAGAATCCTTTTTGGGGCTAATAAATTTTTATAATAAGTACATATCATAATATAGTGATATAATAGAGCCATTTACAAAATTGCCCCCAAAAAACAAAAAAAAAACAATGGACACAAAAGCAAACTATCACTTTTGAAACATTAAAAAAAAATACTGAGAAACAAACCAATACTAAAAGTTTTTGATCCACAAAAAGAAGTAACGTTAACCACAGACGCGGGTGAAAATGCAATTGTTGCTATTATATCAAAAGAAGAACACCAGTCATGTACATATCAAGAAGGTTAACGTCAGCAGAAACTAAGTGCTCGAGTATTGAAAAAGAGGCACTAGCGTTTGCATGGAAAGGGCACGAAACTTTTTAATAGGAAAAAATTCTTATTAAAATCGGACCACAAACCATTAGAACTCATATTTAACCCGAGAAAAGAATTGCCAAAAGTAACATCGTCAAGAATTTTAAGATGGGCGATAAAAATCATGGCATTCGAAAATTTTGACATAATGTATGTAAAAGGGAACACTGTCCCTTGTGACACGCACCGGTGGTCGCAGCGCCAATATGTGACACTGCGCTGTCGGCCCGTGGTCAACTCCCAGTTGCGGCGCGAAGCTGTAAGGTTTCTTCCACCAGCGTTTTGGGGTTGACTCCTTGTCGCTGCCACCAGCCTGTGTCCCGGTCGATCTGGTCGTTCCCGGTTCGATACCAGCTTTGTCGTTCCCAGCTCACTTCCAATGTCTGGTTACCGAAGTAACTACTCTAACCTACCCACGTTGTGATTTTGATTTTAGTTAGACGAAATCAATCAGCCGTCGGGCCGTAGTGCAAGCTGAATTCGGGGTAATGGTGATACCGCAAAAGCGTAAGTAAAAGAAGCAATAAAACAAACTCAAGAGGTTCAAATATGTTGAAAAATAACAAATTATCTTTATCCGTCTGTTATATACACGAGTGTGTTTCTCTCCCAGCCCGTTCCTATGGATTTGTGACACTTTTGCGTTTCTTAAGCGAGTTTTGGTATTTTAAGTCGTTCGTCAATATAACTTGCTTTTTGGTAGGAAGTGGAAGTCGAAAAGGACGTGGAAATCTCTCGGTCAGCTTCTGCGAGGCAACAGTCTCTAACTGCAACTGCGAACCAACTCCTGGAACTCCGAAACTCAACTGATCAGCTGTCTCGAGACGTTCGTTTATATGGATACCGACCAAAACCCGGTGTGGGGCCTGACGTGGCTTGGGCTCCCGATAATTCTCGATTCCCAGCAAGAATTCTCTTTGTTCTTAAGCCAGGAAAATTAATTACTTCCTATTTTTGGAAGATTAATCACTTTCCATTTCGGGGGTTTCTCCTTCGTCCGTGAGGGAAGGTCGGAAGAGAGTTATCCTCCTACATTGGTATCTCATACCAATCCCCTCAGTGCGTGTTAACAACTTCTCCGCCTTTCTCATACCCCCGCCATGCTCATACCCATGCTACCACTTGACCAATGATCTCTCGGCAGTGTGGGTGTGGCTAGGCTGGCCCTCTTAAAATTATTATCCAGAATTTTGTTTACAAAATCCTTTTTTTTCTTTTTTTTTTTTCTTCGGCCAAAACATTTTTTTTTTACAAACCCCAGATTGTCAAATAATTCTTATCAGATCTTTCTTTTGAGGACACCCAAAATTCACTTAGTCGGGTCTCTCTAGCGACTCATCAATCACTGTCAAAACCCGACACCTGTTTTTTGTTTTTTTTTTCTGCTAAGTCAACTTTTAGCTGGGAGGTCCGTATTTTACCTGAGAATCAAATTCTTTATTTTTCTCATACTTTTCGACGACGCTGTGTCGGGCATCAACAGTTTGAATAACAATACGATGCCAGAATTTTAACACACACCAGATGGTTCCCTTCGTTGGATCCAGGAATTAAAATTAAATGGTATCTCTGAAAGATAACTAAGATCGATTCTTTCTGCCTGTACCGCGGTGGTCTCAAGCCGAATTTTTTTATGGCCGCTATGTGTCGGTTGGCTTTGTTTTTCTTTCTGAATTCTGTTTTCCTTGGCGCATCACTTACTTATCGTGACATTAATCAGTTTTGACAGAATCTCATATCTCGCTTTTTCTTACGGATTTTCTGTCTCGTGCGAAAAGTATCTTTCTTCGTAAATAAAATAAAATCTTCTTTTTAATGTCGCTCAGTCTATCTTTCGATATAGCTCTTTCTCGCCTTAAGTCTTTCCTGTTTTTAATTTCTATGGTTAATTAGTTAGCTAATTACCATAGCTAAATAGTGTCACACCCTCACGTAGATGTTTTATCAAGATTACAGTTCAGGAATGAAACAGAAGAAAAAACAGGAAAATACTGAAGATAAAATAATACATTGGGTAGAAACAGACGTTCTTCTTCAAAATAGAAACGAAGCAAGACCCAATATTAAGCAGAATAGTAGAGAGAATAAAAAATATTATATGGAGCAATTGTTCGATGGCAGGGCGACCCTTTAAAGAAACGAAGCGCAAACTAACCATAGAAAATGACATAATATGCAATGGGGATATAATAGTAACTCCACAAATACTGAGAAGAGACATATTAAAAGGAGTACTTGATGACGGGCATTGTGGCATAACAGCAACACAAAGAAGACTAAAGTTACAAGCCTGGTGGCCAGGATATTCAAAAAATATAGAGGAATACATTAAGAAATGCCCCAAATATGCGGAAATAAAAAAAAATTCACGCAAGCAAAAGTTCACTCATGTCCCAAGAAAGCAGAGTTAGGGTTCATATGGATAACGCACATATCAAAGATAGGGAATTGTTCTTAGTATTAGTGTATGGCCAGAGGTTGTCAAAGTAAAGGACAAGAAAAACCACCACAATAAAACAAGTACTAAGAACTATATTCTCAAAGAATGGATTACCCCAGACAATAGTCATCGACAGTGCATCCGAATTTTGCGATGAGAACTTATGTGTGTGGTTAAAACAGATTAGATGCATCCCATACACGACACCACCATATTACCCACAATCTAATGGCATTGTGGAAAGAATGGTACAAACGGTAAAAATGGGATTAATGAAAGCATAGAAGCGTATTTACCAAAAATGCTACTTAGTTACAGATCCATTCCACATACAGGAAGAAAACTGAGCCCTTCGGCATTAATGGAAAGACAAATTAGAGACCCCATAGCTATGTCTTTGCAGCGAAAGAAAAGGTATGATATAGAAAGGATAAAGAGACTAATCCAGAAGAAGCAAATTTCCTGATACAAAAAGAGCACAACACAACAGATACTAGCACATGCAGATCAGTTCAGAAGCAGAAACGACATAGAAATGGAAGCTCAAGAACAAGAAGAGACAGAAAGTTACAAAAGTAGAACAGAGCAGTAAATGGAAGAAAGTGAGAATGAAAAGACGGAGGAGTGTGAAGAAGAAAATGAAGAGAGACCATTAAAGGAAAACAAGAAAGACAAGAGGAAGGACAACACAGTACGAAAATAATCAGGAATAGTAAAAGAAAAACAAGGGTATACGACCTCTTCGATTAAGGGAGGTGTAGTATTGTAAGCAAATTAAAGTATAAATGGAGAACAACTGACGAACATATGGTGCTATGCCTAGCAAACCCGGTTGCTATTCAGGACACGGAGAACTGTACTACGACTACTACTACGCAGAGAGATTAGAAACATAACAATAAGGATTTTGAAAATTAATGTGAAAAACTAAGTTTATATCTACAATCATTAGAGCCCTGTGTTCAATAAATAAACAGTACAGACAAGAATATTAAGAAGATCCTTGGTAGCCTCTGATTTTAAAAAAATAAATTACGCAGTACTTATTTTGATTAACCGCGTTACTTCGCTACTTATGTAAATGTAAAAATAGTCTTAGTTAGCAATAAGTGTCAGATGCATATAAAGGCACAATTGATTATTTACTGCTAATTTGTTTAAATAATGCACTGACGATTATTTGAGTTACGTGGCAATAATTGTAAGTAAAATGGTGCAAGTAATGAAGTAGTCGTTTTAAGTTCTCTGAATATCGGTGCCTTAAGTTAAAAAGATTACACTGTATCGAACTGTATAGAAAACTGTGCAGTGTATATTGCAGTTTACAAGGTACATTGTTAATTACATACGAAAATTTGTTTAATAAACAATGTGTGTATTTATTACCTTGCTTTTCCCCACGTCAAGATTAATGATCCGATAAAGGATTGTACTGAATCGAAAGCCAAAGATGATGATGATGATAATAATAATAATAATAATAATAATAATAATAATTATTATTATTATTATTAATGTACACTTAACATCAACAATATGAAAATGAAAATTTACATAAACCTTAGAAAAATAAGACTGATATAATAGCTGAAAGTGTGATAATACTATTTTTTTTATTATTCAGTAAAATTGATATTTTAAAATGAAGCTTAAACATTGCGTTATTATTTGCTGATAAAATGAAGAGAGGGGCGTATCAAAGATTAGATTTGTACAGCAGATCAGTTTTCAGATAAAAAAAATATTGGATCATTAAGTCGAGTTAATGGTGATCGTACCTTCACTCACTCTTTATTTCATTTGTTGAATCTCTTGCATTTCGAAAAACAAACTAAGTAAATATGATGACGTCTTCTGTTCATGAATTTGAATTAAAAGAAAATTCTGTTACTGTTAATAATACTCAGCAAGAACAATCTGTGATGGACATTATTTTTGGCAACAATGAACCTCCGAGTTTTGTTACGAAAGAAGTAAGTTTTATGCTTATTTTTTTTAAAATTATTGTTTTGGGGTTGGTATTACTTAAACCAGAAACCCATTTATTTGTGAATTTTATATTCACTTCTGTATTCATTTTTTCTTTTTCCCCAATGATATCACATTTTCACAGATTTTACAAGAAACCCACTGCCAGAGGGTGGTATGTGCGTGTGTTGTTGTGTGTGTCCCACTTTTGTAGTTGTATGCAATTTGTATCGGTGAGTATCAGTTAAAAAAAATGAAGAAAAAGGAAGAAAGAAAGTTTCCCCCACTCAGTCAAGATTTAAGTTATTTTTTTACATTTTGTCATTGAAGGTCAATATGAGTGAAATTTCCAGCACATTTTTTAGATTAAAAAAATAATCAGATAACCCTAACCTCGTTTGTCGCAAGCTATTTTTTATTGCTCTGATTCATTGAGAAAAACAAACACATAAATCTTGTTAATATAAAAAAATAAAAATAAAGAAATACTTGTTCAGTTCAGCAATTGACATTTTCAGGTGTTATATCTCAATAGGAAATTATCAATCACTATTTTTCACTTAGTGATTTCATAACAATTCCTAACACACTGACACCTTTTACATAATTTAAAAAAAAGAAGCTTTTTCGGGTCGATTGTCTGATCCAAGTTAACGTTTCAATTTATCGAGAATATAGACCAGTAGCTGAATTTCACTTAAATTCAAATTAGATAGTTATGGTTTGAAAGTTAACATCCCACTGATGAAATTCACTGACATCAGAATGTCAGAACACTCATTAAGTTGATTTATGTTAAAAAATAAATAATAAATATTCAGCCAACTCATACACTTCCTCAAATGGAAGGAGGCCATTTTATGTCCACATTTACCTTGACAGACAACGATAGATTCTGAAAATGTAGGTCATTACACAATTATAGTGGAACAAGCAACAATGTCCTTTTATAGTATGACTAGACACCTGTTTCCTTTGCTAAATTAAATTGAATGTGTTGAAGGAAAAATTATTTCATGAAGCAGTAATTATGTTGGCTAGTATTAGCAAATTGTTAAAAATATCATGACAAAAGTATAGAAAAATTGTAAAAAGCATACTTAAGAAAAAGAAAAAAAAACAAAACCTGTTTTTAACAATGATTTCAAGTGGAAATGACAAAGATACTTTCTAAAAAACTGCAGAAATTTAGTCTTGATTTCCTATAGTAACTAAAAAAAAAAGGTTATCTGCCGTAATAAATCAAAGATGAATATCCTAGCCTAACCCTAATGGGGTTTACCTTTAATAAAAACAATAGAAATCCTGATTGGGCCCAACTTATAAAATCATTTATAAACATTAAACAAGCACAGAAAAAAAGAAAATCTAAAAGTATTTATTAAGTTAGACATATTCAAATATACGGCGGTCAAATTGAAATAAGGAAGGTCCACAAGAGGTCCATGAGAGGAAAATTATACACGTGTTTATTTATAGAAGATTAACATGAAAAGAGAATGAAGGAAAAAAGGAGAAAAGTAATTTCAAAAGGAAAAAGTTCCAAATGAAGGGGGCGGAAATGATATTTTATATCTATGTGTTTTACCCGTTGGCTTGTAATAGGATTTTTTGCTATGCAAATTGCGCTCTGATTATCCGAGTGTAATGTTGCGTGTTTCAATTTCATCTCGTTCACCAATTGCAGGAGGTATTTTGCCTCCTTTACGGCTGGCGTCATCGCTACATATTCAGCCTCACATGTAGATATAGCTACAGTAGGCTGCTTTTTACTCTTCCAAGAGATAACTAGTCCTTGTTCATTTGGGGAAAAACAATGTCTTGACGTACTTTTCCTGTCTTCAGAGCTTCCCCAATCAGCATCAGTAATTTCACGTCTGAAAGATAAACAAAAATTAATAGTTATTTCAAATATCTTAATACATATTTCACTGCATTCCAGTTTTCTATTGTGGGGTTCTGGTTATACTGGGATAATTTATTTACGACTCAGGAATATCAGGCCTGTTACAAGTTGATAAATAAAATAAGTTTCCTATAGTGTCTCTATATTTTGTAGGGTCAAAGGCATCAGCTTCTTTAGAAAAAAAAAAAAAAAATTCTCTTCGCAGGGCGTTGGTCTGGGTTTGGAGTCTAGTATGTTGAATTTTTCTAGTACCTTCTCAGTGTACTCCCGTTGGTTCCTTTCTGTTTCATCAGATTTGATTATAAAGTCTACACCAAGGAATCGTGAGATCTGCCTTAAGTCTTTCATGTCAAACCTTTGCATGAAAGTTTTGACTTCCCTTAAAATGTTCAAGTTATTGGCGGCAGTCAACCCATACGTGAATAATAATAATTTTATTTTCACCAACCCTGACAAACATGCATGGGTCGATAATGCTTTGATTAAAATTTTCCTGTAGACAGTTCCAATTTTTACCACTCTGCTTTAGGCCATAGAGTGACTTATTTAATTTCCAAATAAGGCCCTCCTTGCCTGGAGTAACGTACGCTTCTGGTTGTTCGGTAAATATAATTATTTCAGCATTTAGGTATGCTGATTTGTTATCCATTTGGTGGATTATCAAATCATATTGCACATCGTCTGGTCAGTCACAGCGAAAGATTACTTTTTGCACCATAATATGTCGCTAAGTGTCTAGAGAATTTTGTTTTATTTTATTTATTTATCCTTTTATTTATTTATTTTTATTTTTTTTAATTATTTTTATTTATTTTTTAAGGGCTGTTTCGTACTTAAAAGCGTCGCACTGAACTACAATTTGTTTTTGACGACTTCATAAAGTGTTTTTCTATCTTGTTATTGGGTTAAGCTTTTAAACCTTTTATTAGACTGTAATTTAATTTTCTTTTGTTTTTATGCTAATTATTTAATGCGAAAATTTGTTGATGTCGGCAGAAAACCGTTAACTCATGTCTATGGTTTAATAAATTTAATCAATGATGATGTTGAATGCATTTAACATCATCACTTGATAGGACACCATATATATAAAAATACACACACACGTACACACACACACACACACACACACACACACACACACACACACACATATATATATATATATATATATATATATATATATATATATATATATATATATCCACATACAGGTAAAAATCCGTTGGTAAATAATCCTAATAATATGAAATATTGAAACTGATCTACAAAAACAGCTCAATGTATTTATTATAACAGAGTATATAAATTCCATAGAGTAAAAATCCAAAGTTACCACATTCGAAAATAGCCATTTCGACCCACCTGATTTTTACTTGTAAGTCTTGCCAACTCAGAGACATGAAGAAATAAAATAAAATATTTAAACATTTAAAGAATAAAAGAAGAAGAAAGAACAGAAAAAAGAGAAAAGAAAGGAAGAAAAAATAAAAAGGAATTTGCAATAGAGAATCTAAAAAAATCCCCAAATCATGATAGTAGAGCTGTGAGTATCTGGTCTAAAATAACCTCGACCTATGCTAAAATATTAACATCTAATTTAAAAGGAAAATATTTAAAAATTTGAGAATTTTTTTTAAACAGAGTAAGTAAAAAGGTAATATCTAAAATTAAGTACATTAAAACAATATGTCATATTCAAAGAATAATACATTTAATATGATAAATAAAATAATTATTGAAGAAATAAAATAAAATAAAATTAAAATATAATTTATTAAATATAAATTAATAAGTATTAAATAAGAATTAAAATATTAAATATAAATTTGAAATATATTAATATCAATTAAAAATAAATAATAAATAATTATTCAATATAAATAAATAAAATATTAAACAGACATTCAAAGCGAAGCCAGTAGAACAAACGGCAGCTGAGGAGAAAAAAGAATACATTTCTAAGAATTGTAGAAACCAACTTAGGTTATGAAGAAAAAGTCCAGACCACACTACAGAAGTTAGTTTTGATAAAAGGACTTCTAGACGGTTGAAACCATTCGTGTCGATGAAACAATTATAACATATGAATGATAGCAAAAGAACATTGAATATCAAAATATTGTGAGACATGGGAGCGTTTCAATCCTTAGTATTAAAAAGTTGACTTCTGAAAGGAATCAGCTCAGCAACCCGCAAGCAAATCGACATAAAAGGAATAGGGGTTAACCCTGTGAAAATAACGATCCACCAAATAGATATCAAATCGAAATGGACTTCGGGAACGGTAGAAGTGGGCATCATCGACAGACTACCCATTTAGGGTATCGATATTCTGATGGGAGATGATCTAGCCGGATCGAAAGTAGACATTACTCACCCACCCAGGCGAGGAGATGGGCGCCACGATCAGACCCAGACAAGAAGGGCACAATGGAGGGAACTGTAACATGCGCGCAAGCCAGAACACATAACATAGAGGAGGAGGAAGGAAGTGAACTGGAGAAGGATACTTTACAGGCAATGTTGAAATCGGATGAAAAGGCCAAGAAGAAAAAAGATGCCGGAAGCGATATCCTCCGTCACCAGGAAAATAAGGAGGATCGCACCGTGGCGGTGAAGATGCAAAGAACACACGAAGGTTGGACTTTAATTAAGTCCAAAGAAGACAAACAAGACCGATAATTATATACAAACAAATATATGTATTAACAAATACAAGTTACAGTCACATGGACAATTACATTGAGTGCATGTGGTGAATATTATGTGTGTATTGTGGTGAGTGTTCGTACGTACATGTATTGTTCTTAGCGTGTTCCCAGAATTTTGGAAACGCTGTATCTGTGAGGGCCCACATATGCGAGGTCGTATAAGACCCAAGGCCTGAGGAAAAAAAAAAAGAGATCGAGGCAAAGGGTCACCCTGTATTTATAGCCAGGGTAGAGAGACCCCTGGTGAAGGGTTAAGGAACTAAAGGAGGCGCTAACTCCGACAATCTCATTGAAAAACAGAGAACAGATCCAGAACTAAAGAAATATTTTGATCTTAGCCACCAACGATCATGAACGAGGAAATGGCACACTGGAATATTACTTT